GTCTTGGAAGATTGTGCTTTTCTAAGAATTTGTCCATATCTTCCAGGTTGTCCATTTCATTGGCACGTAATTGCTCATGATCTGTATTTCTGCAGTGTCAGTTGTTAATTCTCCTTTTTCTTTTCTAATCCTGTTGATTTGAGTCTTCTCCCTTTTTTTTTTTTTTTGTTGAGTCTGGCTAATAGTTTATCAATTTTGTTTATCTTCTCAAAGAACCAGCTTTTAGTTTTATTGATCTTTGCTATTTCCTCCATTTCTTTTTAACTTATTTCTGATCTGATCTTTATGATTTCTTTCCTTCTGCTATCTTTGGGGATTTTTCTTCTTCTTTCTCTAATTTCTTTAGGTGTCAGGATAGATTGTTTATTTGAGATGTTTCTTCTTTCTTGAGGTAGGATTGTATTGCTATAAACTTCCCTCTTAGAACTGCTTTTGCTGCATCCCATAGGCTTTGGGTCGTTGTTTTTTCCTTGTCATATGTTTTTAGGTATTTTTTGATTTCCTCTTTGATTTCTTCAGTGATCTCTTGGTTTTTTAGTAGTGTATTATTTAGCCTCCATGTGTTTGTGTTTTTTACAGATCTTTTCCTGTAATTGATATGTAGTCTCATAGCATTGTGGTTGGAAAAGATACTTGATAAGATTTCAGTTTTCTTAAATTTACCTAGGCTTGATTTGTGACGCAAGATATGATCTATCCTGGAGAATGTTCCATGAGCACTTGAGAAGAAAGTGGGTTCTGTTATTTTTGGATGGAATGTCCTATAAATATCAATTAAGTCCATCTTGTTTAATGTATCATTTAAAGCTTCTGTTTCCTTATTTATTTTCATTTTGCATGATCTGTCCATTGGTGAAAGTGGGGTGTTAAAGTCCCCTACTATGATTGTGTTACTGTCGATTTCCCCTTTTCTGGCTGTTAACATTTGCCTTCTGTATTGAGGTGCTCCTATGTTGGGTGCATAAATATTTACAATTGTTATATCCTCTTCTTGGATTGATCCCTTGATCATTATGTAGTGTCATTCTTTGTCTCTTGTAGTAGTCTTTATTTTAAAGTCTGTTTTGTCTGATATGAGAATTGGTACTCCAGCTTTCTTTTGGTTTCCATTTACATGGAATACCTTTGTCCATCCCCTCACTTTCAGTCTGTATGTGGCCCTAGGTCTGAAGTGGGTCTCTTGTAGACAGCATATATACTGGTCTTGTTTTTGTATCCATTTAGCCAGTCTGTGTCTTTTGGTTGGAGCATTTAATCCATTTACATTTAAGGTAGTTATCAATATGTATGTTCCTATTCCCATTTTCTTAATTGTTTTGGGTTTGTTATTGTAGGTCTTTTTCTTCTCTTGTTTTTCTTGCCTAGAGAAGTTCCTTTAACATTTGTTGTAAAGGTGGTTTGGTGGTGCTGAATTCTCTTAGCTTTTGCTTGTCTGTTAAGGTTTTAATTTCTCCGTCGAATCTGAATGAGATCCTTGCTGGGTAGAGTAATCTTGGTTGTAATTCTTTCCCTTTCATCACTTTAAATATGTCCTGCCTCTGCCTTCTGGTTTGTAGAGTCTCTGCTGAAAGATCAGCTGTTAACCTTATGGGGATTCCCTTGTATGTTGTTTGTTGCTTTTCCCTTGCTGCTTTTAATATTTTTTCTTTGTATTTAATTTTTGATAGTTTGATTGCTATGTGTCTTGGCATGTTTTTCCTTGGATTTATCCTGTTTGGACCTCTCTGAGCTTCCTGGACTTCCTTTCCAATATTATGGAAATTTTCAACTATAATCTCTTCAGTATTTTCTCGGTCCCTTTTTTTCTTCTCTTCTTCTTCTGGGACCCCTGTAATTCCAATGTTGGTGTGTTTAATGTTGTCCCAGAGGTCTCTGAGACTGTCCTCAATTCTTTTCATTCTTTTTTCCTTATTCTGCTCTGGGTAGTTATTTCCACTATTTTATCTTCCAGGTCACTTATCTGTTCTTCTGCCTCAGTTATTCAGCTGTTGCTTCCTTCTAGAGAATTTTTAATTTCATTTATTGTGGTGTTCATCATTGTTTGTTTGCTCTTTAGTTCTTCTAGGTCCTTGTTAAACGTTTCTTCTATTTTCTCCATTCTATTTCCAAGATTTTGGATCATCTTTACTATCATTACTCTGAATTCTTTTTCAGCTAGACTGCCTATATCCTCTTCATTTGTTTGGTCTGGTGGGTTTTTACCGTGCTCCTTCATCTGCTGTGTATTCCTCTGTCTTCTCCTTTTGATTAACTTACTGTGTTTGGGGTCTCCTTTTCGCAGTCTGCAGGTCCATAGTTCCCATTGTTTTTGGTGTCTGCCCCCAGTGGGTAAGGTTGGTTCAGTGGGGCGTGTAGGCTTCCTGGTGGAGTGAATTGGTGCCTGTGTTCTGGTGAATGAGGCTGGGTCTTGTCTTTCTGGTGGGCAGGGCCGTGTCTGGTGGTGTGTTTTGGGGTGTCTGTGATCTTATTATGATATTAGGCAGCCTCTCTGCTAATGAGTGGGGTTGTGTTTCCGTTTTGCTAGTTGTTTGGCATAGGGTGGCCAGCATTGTAGCTTGCTGGTTGTTGAGTGGAGCTGGGTCTTCGCGTTGAGATGGAGATCTCTGGGAGAGCTTTCGCTGTTTGATGTTACATGGTGTCAGGAGGTCTCTGGTGGAACAATGTCCTGAACTGGGCTCTCCCACCTCTGAGGCTCAGGCCTGACACCCGGCCAGAGAACCAAGACCCTGTCAGTCACACAGCTCAGGAGAAAATGGAGAAACCGAGGGAGGGAGGGAGGGAGGAAAATAAAGTTATTAAAATAAAAAGTAAAATAAAATTATTAAAAATTAAAAAGTAATTAAGAAAAAAAAAAAACAAAGAGGAAAGCAACCAAACCAAAAACAAGTCCACTGATGATAACAAGCACTAAAAACCACACTAAAAAAAAAAGAAGAAACCGACAGGCCGAACCCTAGGACAAATGGTAAAAGCAAAGTTATATGGACAAAATCACACAAAGCATACACATACACACTCACAAAAAGAGAAAACAGAAAAAAAAAAAATATATATATATATAAAGGAAGAGAGCAACCAAATCAATAAACAAATCTACTGTGCTAATAAACTCTAAATACTAAACTAAGATAAACATAAAACCAGAAACAAATTAGATGCAGAAAGTAAACTCCAAGTCTACAGTTGCTCCCAATGTCCACCTCCTCAAATTTGGGATGATTCGTTGTCTATTCAGGTATTCCACAGATTCAGGGTGCATCAAGTTCATTGTGGAGATTTAATCCACTGCTCCTGAGGCTGCTGGGAGAAGTTTCCCTTTCTCTCCTTTGTTCTCACAGCTCCTGGGGTTCAGCTTTGTATTTGGCCCCGCCTCTGTGTGTAGGTTGCTGGAGGGCATCTGTTCTTCACTCAGACAGGACGGGGTTAAAGTAGCAGCTGATTAGGGGGCTCCTGCTCACTCAGGCCAGTGGGAGGGAGGGAGGGGTATGGAGTGCTGGGCGAGCCTGTGGCGGCAGAGGCCAGCATGACGTTGCACCAGCCTGAGGTGTGCCGTGTGTTCTCCCAGGGAAGTTGTCCCTGGATCACGGGACCCTGGCATTGGCGGGCTGCAAGGCTCCCGGGAGGGGAGGTGTGGATAGTGACCTGTGCTTGCACACAGGCTTCTTGGTGGCTGCAGCAGCAGCCTTAACGTTTCATGCCTGTCTCTGGTGTCCGCACTGATAGCCGCGGCTCGCACCCATCTCTGGAGCTCAGTTAGGCGGTGCTCTGAATCCCCTCTCCTCGTGCACCCTGAAACAATGGTCTCTTGCCTATTAGGCAGTTCTAGACTTTTTCCCAGACTCCCTCCCAGCTAGCTGTGGCGCACTAGGCCCCTTCAGGCTGTGTTCATGCAGCCAACCCCAGTCCTCTCCCTGGGATCCGACCTCCGAAGAAGCCTGAGCCTCAGCTCCCAGCCCCCACCTGCTCTGGCGGGTGAGCAGACAAGCCTGTCAGGCTGGTGAGTGCTGGTGGGCACTGATCCTCTGTGCGGGAATCTCTCTGCTTTGCCCTCTGCACCCCTGTTGCTGCGATCTCCTCCGTGGCTCAGAAGCTCCCCGCTCCGCCTCCCGCCGTCTCTGCCAGTGAAGGGGCTTCCTAGTGTGTGGAAACCTTTCCTCCTTCACAGCTCCCTCCCTGACGTTCAGGTCCTGTCCCTATTCTTTTGTCTCTGTTTTTTCTTTTTTCTTTTGCCCTACCCAAGTACGTGGGGAGTTTCTTGCCTTTTGGGAGGTCTGAGGTCTTCTGCCAGCGTTCAGTAGGTGTTCTGTAGGAGTTGTTCCACATGTAGATGTATTTCTGATGTGTTTGTGGGGAGGAGAGTGGTCTCCACATCTTACTCCTCCACCATCTTAAAGGTCTCCCCTTTTTTAAAAAAGGTACATCTAACTGGTTAGTTATTAGATTATCTTGTATTACTGAAGAAAAAAGTTCTAGCAAAGGAAATCTTTGTGGAAGTCAGTTTGTCTTGTTAAGTGGTAATTAACATTACAAAATAATCCAGTTTTTAAAAGTGTTGCTAAAAACTTCTGTATGAAATGATTTTTTCCTATACTTGGAGTGCTTCATCCCTTTCCCTTTTCTTTTGCCTGTCTCAAAACCTCAACTTTCTCAGAAAAGCCTGTGCTGACCCTTTCCCCAATATACAGTTGATTCCCCCACTGTTCTCATAGAGCACCTTTCCTTTTTCTTCAGAGTACTTATTATAATTGAAATTGTTTTATTTGTATTTATTTGATTAATGTTGGTCTCATCCACTAAATTTTAAGCTTCATGGGGGACAGCAACTATGATTTTTTGTTCACCACTTTTGGCCTATAGTTCCTAGCACTGAGTAAGCATTCAATAAGTGTTTGTAGAATAATTGAACCAACAGAATATTTCACACTACAACTAAATATTTCATTTGGTTATAATTTTATGCCTGGGAAATGGGGCTAATTTCTTTTTGTATTTCTGTTTAGAATGTGGCAGATCAGATTGCATTTCAAGTTGCTGGTGGATTAACAGCCCTTGAACACATTCTTCAAGTAGTGGTCCCAGTCACAAATGTGAACACAATTTCACGAATTCCTCCTAAGTAAGTATAGTTTTTTAATCTGTCTTTCACGTTTCACTTGTGAGTCATTTCTGCCCTATGGTTTCCATATGGGGGACCACAGGAAAATTGTATGTTTATTCAGGCTTGAATAGCAAAAGCTTACACTCCCCATTAGGGAGAAAAACAGAGGTGCTCGACTTCATTTACAAAACTCAAATTGAGCTTAAAAAGCCTTATGAAGGAAATTTCCTTGGTCTGTAACCTTTTCTAATCCTAAATCAAGAAGAACTGAGGAACTTGTGAGAAGTTCTAACTGCTTACAAAATTTGAACAGAAATGAGTAGTAATAGCAGCTAACTTTTTGGATTGCATACAAAAAAGGAGGTAAGTGCATTGACAAAGGCCTGAGATGTGAAATTTGAAGAAGTCCCTAACGTGCAGGAAGAGCAGTCTGAGGCCAAGACTGCCATAGTCTGGAGTCCCAGCCAAATAGTTGGGAAGTGGATTGCAGTTTGGTCTTTTAACTGCAAATTGCTCTGTCGTAAGGATCATGTGCATCCTTTAGACCCAAGATCTACTTTCTTGTTCTTTTACATCACCCTTTGGTCCCTGGCCATCTAGGATGTAGTAGCAGAAAGCATTATTTCAGAAGTATTGTATTCCTGAGTTGTAACATGCACAATTTTTGGATTGTGGAGACTCTTATTTACAGGGTTTAAATGAGAAGTTTTGATAAAAGTTCAGTTATATCACGGAGAAACTTTTAAATATTTAATTAGCTCTACAAAAGTGAGTGCTTCATTTGTGCGCTGGATACAACAGAAAAAAAAAATTCCAAGAGTATGTTATCTTTCTTCCTGAGAGACATTTGGTAAAATAGAAATAGCACCAGCTTTGGAGTCAAACAAACCTGAATTCCAGTTTTACTTCTGCTGGTTACTAGTTGGGAGAATTGGGACAAGTGCCTTAATCTTGTTGCATCTGTTTTCTCATTTGGTCAAACAGGGGTAATCATATTCACCTCACAGTGTGGGGATCAGTTGAAGTAATAATGTATGTGAGAGTTCTTTGTAAACCTTAAAGTGTTATATAAATATTAGGTGACAGTTTTTAAAGTAGTAATCTTGCCTGGTTCAAGACACTGTTATCTATTTGACATGAGAGATTTCTAAGTACAGACTTTGATACTGAGTTAGTTTGGGTTGTTTTGCTCTACTGACAAAGTAGAGATTAATGAAAGAAGGTATAAAGGTGTCCTTTAAAGTCAGGATATCTTTCTTTGGAGCAGAAAACTGTACATGGGGCAGTTATAGCACACATATAGATGTTCTAACCCAGAAGAGTTGCTACTCCTTATCAAAGTAGACTTTACTGACAGTGTGTTGCTTGGCATGTTGTCAGCCCTCAATGTATATTAATTGGCAGAGAGAGAGAGAGGAAGGAAAGAATGAAATACAGTAAAATGTTTGAGGTAAGAAAGGAAATGACGTTTGATTCTTTGGGACAGTGCTTTTCATAACTGTTAATAATTCATATTGGTTCATCTTAACTGCACCTGTAGTTTTTGTTTTGCTTCTTTTTTGGTTTCATTGTTGTTGTTTTGTTTGTTTTCTGGTAGGTTGCAACACGCATGACCCTGAGCTCCCTTAATGGTAACCTAGATGAAATGCCTATTTCCCCAAAGCTACCTTTGTCATTGTGGCAGAGGGCATGTTCTGGTGCTTATTTGTGCCTCTTGTTTAGGAAACAGAAGAGGTTTCCATAGTTCCCAAAAAGACCTAAGTAAGAATTAGCACACCTGCTTTGGAAAGGAGCCATAGAATCCTGAAAGTCCAGATCAATGCTTCTCAGCTGGCCACAGTGCCAGGATTGAGAGTTTGTTTCTTCATCTCATCTTAGGCCAATAGGTTTGTGTTTTCAGCCAGGTACTGCTTACTGAGTGAGGCCAGCACTCAGGGCTCTGGGCATCTAGCATTGACTCTAAGATTCTCCTGTCCGTCCTTAGCACAGCTCAAGATCATGACTCTACTTTCTAAACTAGCCTCACTTCTCCGGGCTAATGAATTAGGGTTATGCTGCTTACTTGGAGACAGGCAAGAAAAATGCCACTACTACATTAGATTTAAATGTAGACTCGAAGCACACTGGTGGGCCTGAGTCAGTGGCTTTTTCATATTCCTTCTAACTGCTCTCTGGCCTTGGGACTTCCTTTGCTCTCAACTTGCCCAGATCCTCCCCTTCTATCCCTGTTGAGCTCCCAGCCCTCATCATCATGAAACTTCTGCCACCTTAGCACATTTTGTTTTCTGCTTCCTGTGGCCTTTCATGGCTCTTACCTAGAGAGACTGTATTTTGTTTTTCTTTCTTTTTTTTTTTTTACTATCCTACAGTAGTTCATTTTTCTCAGCAATAAACAGGAAAAGATTTGAGAAGTTGCAGCCACTGTCTAGTAACATTTATCATGTGGATCACCTATGACTGCAAGCCTAATGTTTCACTGCCCCTGCAGCCCCAGAGCTCTGTGAGTGGAAAAACGAACTCCCTGATCCTCTTTCATCACCACTTTTCCCGTCTTCCTTTTTACTACACATGGTACCTCAGCAGTTGTCCTATAATTATTGCTAGGTAACTCCCTCTGAGTGAATATTTTGCTTCCAGCAGATTTTTTTAGTGTGAAATTGAGAATTATACCCACTTATGAAAATTTAAATTTTTGAAACCTTTCTGAATCTTCACTGGGTTGTTTTTCTTTTTTTTAGAAACAGAGAAAGCCCATAAACTTGCTTGAATCCTTTTCAAATTATCATTGGTTAGGTCCCATTTGTTTATTTTTGTTTTTATTTCCATTATTCTCAGAGATGGCTCCAAAAAGACATTGCTGCAATTTATGTCAAAGAATGTTCTGCCTATGTTTTCCTCTAGGAGTTTTATAGTTATCCAGTCTTACATTTAGGTCTTTAACCCCTTTTGAGTTTATTTTTGTGTATGGTGTTAGAGGATGTTCTAATTTCATTATTTTACATGTAGCTGTTCAGTTTTCCCAGTACCGCTTATTGAAGAGACTGTCTTTTCTCCATTGGCTATTCTTGCCTCCTTTGTTGTAGGTTAATTGACCATAGGTGCATTGGTTTATTTCTGGGCTTTCTATCCTGTTCCATTGATCTACATGTCTGTTTCTGTGCCAGTACCATACTATTCTGATTACTGTAACTTTGTATTATTGTCCGAAGTCAAGGAGCCTGATTCCTCCAGCTCCGTTTTTCTTTCTCAAGATTGCTTTGGCTATTCAGAGTCTTTCGTGTTTCCATACAAATTTTAAAATTTTTTGTTCTAATTCTGTGAAAAATGCCGTTGGTAGATTGATAGGGATTGCATTGAATCTGTAGACTGCATTGAGTAGTATAGTCATTTTAACAATATTGATTCATCCAATCCAAGAACACGGTATATCTTTCCACCTGTTTGTGTTGTCTTCAGTTTCTTTCATCAGTGTCTTATAGTTTTCAGAGTACAGGTCTTTTGCCTCCTTTGGTAGATTTATTCCTAGGTATTTTATTCTTTTTGATGTGATGGTAAATGGAATTGTTTTCGTAATTCTTCTCTTTGATCTTTCACTGTTAGTGTATAGAAATGCAACAGATTTCTGTTATTAATTTTGTGTCCTGCAACTTTACCAAATTCATTGATGAGCTCTAGTAGTTTTCTGGTAGTGTCTTTAGGATTTTCTATGTATAGTATCATGTCATCTGCAAACACTGACAGTTTGACTTCTTCTGTTCCAACATGGATTCCTTTTATTTCTTTTTCTTCTCTGATTGCTGTGGCTAGGACTTCCAAAACTATGTTGAATAAAAGTGGTCAGAGTGGACATCCTTGTCTTATTCCTGATCTTAGAGGAAATGCTTTCAGCTTTTCACCATTGAGTATGATATTAACTGTGGGTTTGTCATGTACAATGGAATATTACTCAGCCACGAAAAAGAATGAAATAATGCCATTCGCAACAACATGGATGGACCTAGAAATTATCCTACTAAGTGAAATAAGCCAGGCAAAGACAGTTATCATATGATATCACTTATATGTGGAATCAAAAAAAAAAAGATAGAAATGAACTTATTTACAAAACAGAAATAGGCCCACAGACATAGGAAACAAACTTATGGTTCCCAAAGGGGAAAGGGGTAGAGGAGGTATAAATTAGGAGGTTGGGATTAACATATACACACTACTATGTATAAAATGGATAACCAATAGGGGCCTAATGTATAGCACAAGGGACTATGCTCAATATTTCATAATAACCTATAAAGGAAAAGAATCTGAAAAAGAAGATATAGATAGATAGAGCTATAGATTTATAGATATATAGATAAGACTGAACCATTGTGCTGTACACCTACAACTAACATAATATTGTAAATCAACTATACTTCAATTAATATATATATATCAGTTATTACTGAAAGGACTTGGTCGGGATATGGTATTCTAAAATCAACCTTTTTAACAAACGTGCTCCAGTAAAATTCTTTTCAGTGCCAGGAAAGATCACCATGAAACAAAGCAATTTTCTTTCTTTTTTTTTTGAATTTTTATTGGAGTATAGTTGCTTTACAATGTTGTGTTAGCTTCTACTGTACAGCAAAGTGAATCAGTTATACGTATACATATATCCCCTCTTTTTTAACAAGGCAATTTTCATTTTATGTTGTATCTACTTTTGGAATGATTCATGTTATTCTGCCTCCTAATTTTACTTGGAGAAAACAAGTACAAAACAATGAATGACATATTCTAACCTTTTCTTTGGTTTAGGCTAATAACAGTTGTTTTACATAGCTTTTTTTTAAATCAAAGTATAGTTTATTTACAGTGTTGTGTTAATTTCTGCTGTACAGCAAGGTGATTCAGTTATACATATGTACATTCTTTTTTTATATTATTTTTCATTATGGTTTATCACAGGATATTGAATATAGTTCCCTGTGCTATTAGGACCTTGTTATTTATACATTCTGTATATACTAGTTTGCCTC